ATCAGTTTTTTTGAATAAAATATTATTACAAAAATTCTCAAAATTTCAAAGTAAACGCGTTTTCCATTTTTATGTTTTCGGAAACTATTTTTCAGAATGGCAAAAAGAACGCATTTTCAGAAATTTCAAAATAGACACTCAAAACACAAAATTGAAACACAAAGAGATCAGTCCCTTAGTTTCACATGCATATTTCATTAGTGATGGTAAAAAAATCCGCTCCGCCCCGCCCTGCCCCGCCTCGACCCGAATGGGGCAAAAAAAACCTGCCCCGATGGGTTGGTGGGACGGGGCAACCCCCACCCTAAAGCACCCTGAACCCGCCCCGTGAAGAGTCAAAAAATAATTAATTACAAATTAAAAACATAAAATACTTAATTGGAAGTTTTTGAAAAAAATAAATAAACGGGGCAAGTTCGCACCCTGAACCCGCCCCGCCCCTTCCCGTCTAAGGTGGGGCGGGGTGGGGGAGTGGCGGGGCTGGCACCCGCCCCAAAACCGTCCCGTTGCCATCTCTATATTTCATCCTTTACATTACCATTTTTTGTCCAATGGAATTCATAGGTATGAGAAGAATCTCTCTCGAATAGAGATTTTTTCTTTCATCCATATTTCGATTGTTAATATGAAATGAGGACTACTACTACAAAGAGTATTACATTCTTGATCTTGAAATATCGATTGCTTGTTGACTCAGTGAATTCTGTGAAAGTAGGATAATCCAAACTAATCCGTGAACTTTAGAGTTAATTGATGATACTATTTCACCCACGGAGATATAGTAGGAGTTCGGCCTTGGACATTTTTTGATCACCAACCACTCTTGGGCCCCCAAGACAAAAGTCGTGACTCTGCTGATTAAAAATGAAAATCAAGTTGGGTTGAACAACTTTTATTGTGACCTAGCACAACTTAGTCTTTGGGAAAATTTCATAAGTAAGGGATTAAGTATCACCTATTTCAAAATTGATAATGGAGGTTTTAAATTTCAAAAATCAAGTTTTTATTAAAATTTATTTATGATTTAATCAATTAATTATATATTTAATTAATTAAATATATTAAGGTCACATATCTATACAATTTGGTCACAATTCAAAATTTTCATAGGTCGCAATTTGTTCATCGGTCACAAATTAAAAATTTAAAAATCACAATTCGTTCATCGATCACAAATCACAAAATTAACAAGTCACACTNTTCAGTCACAAATCAAAATTTTTATATGTCACAAATTATTTTACGATCACAATTCAAAAATTTTATAGATCACAGTTTGTTCAACGGTCACAAATTAAAAAAATTAAAAGTCATAATTTATTTATCGTTCATAAATCATAAATATAATAAGTCACAACTTAATATACAATCACATATTATAAAATTACGGTCACAAATTAACAAATTTTTAGGTTACATATTATTTTTTTGGTCACAATTTATCTTTTTTTTTTGGTCACATATTGTTTATTGGTCATAGGTTAACCAATTTGATGGTCACAATTAATCAAATAATCTGTAACCACCACCAACGCTTGCGACAATCACCTTGCCACTGCCTCCAACAATAGCGCCACCACTGTCGCCGCCCAGTAGCAACATCACCATCTAAAACAAACAAGCACCCCAACCTCCCAGCACCACTATCACCACCTCCAACAAACTACCACTTTCAACTTCAAAACCACCACCGCCAACAAGAAGATCCACCACCGCCGCAACCAACAAAACCACAGCCACTACCAAATCCAACATAATCTCGCTACCCAAACACCACCACCACAGCCCCCATCCTCCAACTAAAAACACAACCTAAAAATCCCACACCAGATCGCAGCGGTGCAGATCCTGACCATGATGCGCCGTAAATCCTGACTGTAGCACAAAAATAACCACCAACGCCAATCACGACCACCACCATCGCCGCACGCACGCACGCGCACCCTACCACCGTCGCACCCACAGCACCGCTCCCACACCATCACATCACCACCCTCACTGCCGCCAAATCCACCATCACCATAGCAGTATGAAAACCACCCACCGCTTCAAACCTTTTTCCACGGGATGACGTCGACGTCACTGTCGGCACTCTTGTCGCTGTGGTGTCATGTTGCAGTCACGCGCCGTAGAGAGAGGAGGGAAAGAGAAGTATAAGTGGGAGGGAGAGAGGAAATTAAGGTTTGAGTGGATAGATTAATATTTAACGTAGTGATTAAAATTTATTAATATTTAAATCATATTAATTATTAATTAAAACCTGATTTCTGTATTATGAAACTTGATTCTTGATTTATGAAAATGAAATTTTAAAACCTTGTCATGCTGTAATTTCCTCTTAGTCTTTTGTCTATCGGGTTGGGTCGAGTCGGGTCACGTCAAGCCAAGACGTACAGAAAAGTGTGAGGCCAGGCATGTCCAACCCCTAAGGGATTCCTTATGAAATTGATTGAAATCTTGAAGTCACTTCAAATGAAAGCAATTGATACAAATTTCAACTCAGTAACATGGAGTTTGCTTGGTATTGCAACTTACGAGGCATATACGGGAAACTGTCCCAACTGTTCAAAACTTTATAAAGAATGGAACCTAAAGACTGAGATCTCAAGATTATCAATCTCAATAACCCTTTTTCTTTACTGATTTTTCAGCTTCGATTATCCAACTTCCCTTCTTTGCTAAATAATATAAATCTCATTATGATCATTAGAATTAGCCTTTTTCTTGTGCCAATCTTAAGTTAGATTATCTGTTAAAATCATAAGTTCTCCGTCTGTAAACGAAATTATGCTGTGGAAATAGTCTGCAAAGTGTCAGTTCTTCTGTATATTATGGTTGTCCAACTACTACAATCTGAAGCCCGGAGAGGCAGCTCAAAGTTAAGCGAGTGAAGCGGTTGCAAATGCACCATATTTGGTTACACTCTCAAAGTTTAGACTGATACACATTTTCTCCCGTCAAATTTCTGGTAATCACTTAGAAAAAGGTTGCCCCTGGATTTTCGCTTAAAGCACTCAAACTTCTTGAGCCACCTACGGAGTGGTTTAGATATTCATAAGTGATTATGCGGAAAGCAAATGTCGTATCCAAGTTGAGATCATGGAGATGGATCCACAGGTTTATTCTTATAGTAGGCACTCTTGCTATTCTAATCTGTATAGCCACCTTGTCGAAAGCCTATTCTCTCAGGTTTTTTCTTGTTACTGATACCTCCTCCTCGTGCTACTCCAATAGTTTCACTACTCATGGCTCGATTGCAACGGAGATCAATGCAACAATCGAACTTGTTGTCCAGAAAATTCAACAAGAAATCAACAGGATGAGAGATTTGCCACATGAATCATCACCTTCTGAGTCGAAGCATGCGTACGCTTCTTTTCTTGCAGACATTTTGGGCCTTGTTGAGTCTGTAGCATCTCTATCACGTACAGAAGGGACTGCCGAGCAAAATGGTGTTGTAGTACATCCACTGTCAAGACCTAATCAAGAAACTGAGGAACCTGCTGAGTACTTCTTGACAGAGGAAATCAGGAAGTATGTCAGGATCAAACCTAATAGGCTCAAAAAACAGAATTTCATGGGAGCTAATGGCACTTTCACCAGCATTGGACATGCATGTTTTTGGATGAAAAAAGAGCTTGAAGAGTACATGGAGTACGATATAGGCGATATATGTAATGACGACTGGAAATTAGCACAAAAATTGATGGTCCATGGCTGTGATCCACTACCAAGAAGAAGATGCTTTGCGAAATCTCCTCAATACTACACTAAGCCTCTCCCTGCTAATGAATCCATGTGGAAACTACCTGATGATCTAAATGTCCGTTGGAGTCAGTATAGATGCAAGAATTTCACTTGCCTGGCGAAAAACACGACGCAAAAGGGATTCTTCAAATGTGCAGATTGCTTCAATCTCGATGATCATGAATGGACTAGATGGATCGAACCAGTATATGAAGATCCCAATTCAAATCTAACATCGGATTTTCTCATCAAAGAAATTCTTGATCTTAAGCCTAATGAAATCCGTGTTGGACTAGATTTCAGCATAGGTACTGGTACATTTGCTGCAAGAATGAGGGAATTCAATGTCACTATAGTTTCTGCTGCAATAAATCTTGGAGCTCCCTTCAACGAATTCATTGCCCTCCGTGGATTAATCCCTCTTTACTTAACGATAAATCAACGACTTCCTTTCTTTGACAACACGTTAGATTTGATTCATTCAACAAGATTTCTCGATGGATGGATCGATTTTGTGCTTTTAGATTTCATATTGTATGATTGGGATAGGGTTTTAAGACCAGGAGGGCTTCTCTGGATTGATAGCTTCTTCTGCTTGAAAGAAGATTTACATGACTATTTGCAAATATTCAAAATGTTAAGGTACAAGAAACACAAGTGGATTGTTGTCCCAAAAAGAGACAAAAGTGAAGATCTTGAAGTGTTCTTCTCTGCTGTGCTGGAAAAGCCACCAAGGCCTTTCAGATAATCGTGTTCATGGAGAGGTAACATTTATGTTACTGTTACTAAATCTGAGAGATCAATTGCCAAAAACTCGTCCTTATTTTAGGCATAAAAAATAAATGATTGTGATTCATTTTATTGTATTACGTTTTATTGTATTACGTTTGATTTCTAACAATATTTGTTATATTAATTGAGAAAAATTTCCATCTTAGGAATTTTTAGTATGAATAGAACTAGAATTGATGTAGAAAACTGATTTAATAGGTTGTGTTATTAACATTGTTCTCTCTCTCTCTCTCTCTCTCTCTCTCTCTCTCTCTCTCTCTCTCTCTCTCCCCACACACACA